AATTAATAAAAAAGCAACATTAATTAAAAATTTAGATAATGAAAAAGAACTTGATAAAAAGAATTTAGAATGGGCTTTAAATAATATTTCTTTTGATAATATTTAAGACAATGATAATTTGATGAGAGAAGATATGTATCAAAAATTTGATGAAGAATTAAAAATTAACGCTGAAAGGAAAAAATATTTTAATGAATTAAAAGAAAAAGAACAATATGAAAACAATATGAAAAATTATAATGATATGATAGAAGAATTAGAACAACAACAACTTTATAATGATAATATGGAAGAATATAACGATATGATAGAAGATATTAATGACAATTTTGAAATTAATACTAAAGTAACATACGATAAGGAAAATAAAATAGTTTATGCTGATCTAAGATGTGGTTTTAGAGAAAAATTAAGAAGAATTCAATTAGTAAGAGATTATTTTAACGATTTAATTAAAACCACTTTATCAACTACTGATATACTTTATAATTATCACCTTTGTCAAGATGGATGGAAATCTTATATGTTAAATACTCAAGACGCAATTGATGAATTTCTTAATTCTGTTTCTGAAGAATATATGGGTTTTATTAATAAACAAGAAGTTAATGATGGTATAGATTCTACTTTTTCTGTTAAACAAACTATTCCAGAACCACTATTCTTTCTTGAATTAAGAATTTCTCCATATCATTACGAAGAAGATCTTATTCATCAATATAAAACTACGGGTGGTTCTTTCTTCCCATACAGATATAAAGAAGAATTCAGTATATTTGGAAATATCTTGCTAAAGCACAAATATTCAGTTCATTATTTGATAAAAATGGAAAGATTAGATTAGAATTTGATTTAGATTGTTTCTGTTATTCTTTAAAACAAGCTAAAGTTGACAATGAAACTTTAGAATTAGTATTAATTCATTGTAGAGGTAGATATCAAAAAGCTAAATCGTTGAATGAGTTATGTAAATTTGCTCATATTAGAATCAGAATTAATAGAGAATGTATTGACAATAAATTAAAAAAAATTAATAATACTTTGGAATAATGTACAAGTACTTTCTTGAATTTGAACTGTTCCAGTAAACCGAGAATAAACTATTTCCACTTGAGAAATAACAATAACCAAGAATAAGTGATTTATCACGAATTTGTATAAATTCTTTAGACACACCTTTCATATAAGTAGAACATGTAATTGCATCTAATGTTAGATGATTTTATTTAAATTCATCACATAATATTGCTGGATTAACCTGACAATAAACAAAATTTTGAGTAATTCTTTGTTTCATATCTAATTCAAATTCATTAAATATTGCATTTGGATATGAAGTAAATGATTGTAAAGGCATGAAATTATCTAAAGAATTATCAATTTCATTTCAGCATCAAATGTTGAATTTCTAAGTGAATCATCAACTTTAACATATACTCCACATACATTATTTTTATGTTCAAAAGCATTTTTCCAAGCTGTATAAACACCAGCTCTAGATTATTTTTCTTGTTGAGTTCTACACATTCCAGAAATAGTTGTTTCGTATATCATCTTAGTGTTTTCATAATATGTAGTTCCATTTTTCCAATTAATTTTCATACTGTCTAGCCATTGAGTAGAATCTTTTAAACCAGTAAATAACATACAAGCATTAGATTCTTTTTCAACACCTGTGGTTGCAGTTCTTGCTCCATCTAGAACTAATTTAAGTCTTAATTTAATTGTTGCGCTTAAATAACTCTTATCAATATTAGTAATATGAAAAGATGGATCTATAATTGCTATTTTAGAATGAGCATTATAATTAAATGGAACTTGTTGTTGATAAGCATTTACAGTAATCATTCTACTATCATGAACACCATCATTAGATGTAATTATTTTCTGTTGTTCATCAAAATATTGTAGGATATCTTCTCTATTGGCATTTTCTGAAACTAAAGGAATTCTTATGTTAGACATTTATTACAGTAAAAAATTGAATTTTAAATATTTTAAATGCGGCAACCCGGATATTATAAAAGTCTTAAAAACTTTGCCAATAAAATTTTGGAAAGAGGTGGAAAAGTATTAAAAACATATGGAAACACAATGAATAAAGTTACAAATATAGCTAAACCAATAATAAATACTGTTCCTTTAGTTGGACCAGTTATCAGTAATATCGATGATAAAAAGTTTCAAACATATAGTAAATTTGGAGACAGAACGAGTGAGGTAAGTAAAGGATTGGATCCTCTTAAAACATTAAAGCAATTTGGTCATAATGATCTTAAAAATATATGGGTGACAAAATAAAATGTATATAATATTTTTTATTTTATTTTAAATGGTAAAAGAACCTCTTTTTGGCAAAAGTTAAAGAAAGTTAAGGATTTCATTCCTAAAATAGGAAAAGCAGCTGTATGGATTAATGATAATGTAATAAAACCAATAACACCTAATGCTAAAAATTTAATATAAGCATATGATACATCTGGTATGGGAAATAAAATGTTAGATTTTAGTAGCGACTTAATTGATCAATACAAAACTAATAAAAAGTTAATGTACCAGATACAACTCACTATTCTAATAAATTCGTTGAACAATTAATGAATACTCAGCGTAGTAATAATGATAAAAAGAGTTTTAAATGGTTCTAATTAAATTCATATTATTTAATTAATATTTTTATCATTAAAAATGAGTGTATATAAATCTCAATCTGATAATGCTAAAACATTTGATGATGAATCGGATTTTCAAAAATATTATGATAAAAACAATAAATTGATAATATTAAAACCAAATCATTAAATTTAAGATTTAAAATTATTGGATATAGAATAGGTAGAATAGAAGGAAAAATATTATTATATCCAATTAAACTAGAAGATACAATTGATACTAAAAATAATATCGAAGAAAGATTGACTTATCTTGAAAATCTATTTAGAGATTTTATTAAAGCTAATCCACAATTATTTCGTTATCTAACGAATTAAATATAATCTTTTCATATTTTCGAGTTGATTATAAACCGATTGAAACTCTTCGAATGAGATATCTGTAGTAATTTGATTATAAATATGATGAAGAATTTGAGGTGAAAATGAATTAAATATTCATACTGTAGATAATATTGATTTTATCTGTGCTGGTATACCTCTCCATATTTGAATAGCTATAAAGAATAAACAATTGGTATGTCTTGTTTTATATAATGATTTAGATAATAAAGAATATTCATTTTTTAAACAATTAACAACATCATCTAAAACAATAATTGTTTCTAAAGGTTTATCACTATTTTTTAAATATAAACATTCTAGTATAGAATCATCTTTAGGTATTTCTTTTCTAGTCATTTTATTATTAGTTTCTTTAATTTCAAGGAATTTAGTATAAGCTTTTTCAAATTGTTCATATGTAAATTTAAGTATTGGAATATTTATTAAAAGCTCATAATGTAATAAAGTTTGATCAGAACCAGTATTATTAACCCAAATAATAAGATGAAACTGACTTTGTCCGAACGCAATAGAAACTTTATCAATTTTAATAAGTTCTTTACAAATTGAAGTTTTTTAGAACAACCTGATTTACATATAAGTAGATTTATAGATCTATGCTTTACAAAACCTTCTGGATGAATAGTATTCATTGTTGTCTCAGACTTATCAGGAGCATATTGATTTATTAATGTGTTGACATATCCATTTAGACCAACTGACATTTTTTACTAAAAAAATATTCATAATTTTCATTATTTATTTCATATCTCTATATCAAGATATCTAATAGTTTGTTTATCTTTATTTTCAAATTCTTCGTAATTTTTAGTTCAAACAACCATAAAAGGTTTTAAATCTGGGTTAAAATTATTCTCATTAATATTTTTAATAAATTTATTTTCGGAATTAATATATTTACTAATTTTATTATTAGCAAATTATTGTTTACCATCTTCAGATAGAATAATATGAGTTTTACCAAATTTTGTTTCTATTGATTTAAATCTAATTATTTATAAACAGAATTTTCTTCTAATTTTTGAATATTAGTTTTGTATTCTTGTGAGGTCATTCTTTTTAAGGAATAAAAAAATAAAATTATTTAAATTATTCTTTAATTATTTATTGAACAATCAAATGGGGTTTCAAAATTTAATAGTTTTACAATACTTCTATTCGTAAATTCTGGTAAAAATTGTTGTACTACCAGTCTTCTAAGAGAATATTTTTTAACATGTTTGTCTTCAGATAAATTAACATACACGTCATATTGTAATGATGGTCTTAACATTATTTTTATTAATTTATTTT